CAGAGCAAATTCACTTTCCATACAGCAGTTCACAAACACTTACTTTGTCTCATGACACTGACTACAATTTACCCCAATGCAATGGCTCCCCTCCTATTTCCTCCGATAGTTACTTCTTCCTTGTGTCCATCCTTCCACCCACTCCAGCCCCCTGAGCTGTCTCCCTGTGCATAAACAGTCCTTCTTTCTCTCATGATTGCTCTCTTTAAGGAGTGTATCTATCTCAGGTAAATGTTCAACTCAAATGCCTGTCTCTTGTTTGGCTGGAAGTGATGGTGTCAGTTCAATTCCAGACCTGAAGGGCAGCTAGGGGCCATAGTCTCAGTGGTTTCACCAAGCTCTATCAGTCCAGCAAACCTGGTCCCCCCTCTCTCTTTTTATTCCAAATGATTTTGAATTTTGTTCCACATTGTCATCCCTTTCTATCCAGGATATCCTACATAGATCCCCCTCTGAGTGGTTGCCAGTGGTAGCTGGGCACCATCTAGTTCTGGTTGCATAGTCATATAGGCTGTAGATCACATGGTGTACCAGTCACCAGGACTAATTATTTCCATGAATCTTTGGTTTTCTTCATTCTTCTTTGCTCTGGGCAAGGAGAGACCCATCATTGCATCTAGGTAGCTGCTTGCAAGCTTTTAAGATCTCAGTCACTACTTACCAAAGTAGGAGATGGAACAATGTTTTGTGCAATACATTATGCCAATTGAGCTTGATGTCCCTTGTGACATCAAGTATAAATACCTACAAAGGGCAACCATATAAATACCTACAAATATAAATATATGATATAATATAATATAATATATATATATATATATTTATATCCTCTCATAGAGTATTTTATAGTTTTCAATGAAACATATTTCTCATTTGTTATCATTTTCACTTTACTATAATTTCCCCATGAGGAATAGTATTGCCTTCATATTAAATACAGAAAATGAAATATTCAACGAGATGACCATTGCCCCTTAAGTGGCTGGAAAAACACCTGAAGTTAACATCAAAGATTCTGAAAATGGACTCTTTTCATAGCAAGATAATAAAGAGGAAGATCTTGTGTGTAAGAGAGGAAATGTGTTATAGATACAAGGGACAGAGAGGATCAGAATCTGCTATGACAATATTTGTATTCTCAACACCCTCCCAGGATCCAAGAAGGCCAGTCACATTTTAGAAATGTCCTATCATAATTGAAAGATATATACTTTCTCCCAAGTCACACACCACAAGAACAGGTATTAGAAACTAGACCTCACAGGCCAATTACAATTTTTTACTGAAGAAAATCATTGTAGTGAGGAGATAGAATTCTCTACCAACTTGGAATGTTAGTTTTTATTATTGTGGCAAGCTAGTAAGTTAAAAGAACTATTGGCTAATGAACTTCCCATATGGCAGTTCACTCCCTCAGAGAGCAGTTTAGCAGCCCCAGGAGGCCAGATTCGTAGGCTGAGGGGCTTCTGCCTTTGTATAAGGACCCTGTTAAGAATATAGGTCTTGGGAGAAGTATCTCTCATATTTTAACTTACTCCCACAGGTTGCATCAAAGTGCTAAACTTCCAACTCTTACAGGCTCAAGACTAACTGAACGTCACACTGCAAATATGAAGTGAGAAGTGAGCTGGGGATTCTCTGCCAAATCCAGTCCCTGAAGCAGTGGCTGGGCTCTCAGGGCTGAGTTCTACAAGTCATTACTCTGCCATCCAGCTCTGGGTAAGAACTTTGTCAGTCAGGCATTTTTATATTTATAACATTCTCTGGCCTGAGCATTGAGAGAACTAGAACGCTTCAAAATAGGAAGAGGTAGAGAATAATAAGGCTATATAGTACACACCATTTGGAACACAGACCCTATTTTCTTTAAAATAGATATTTTCATTTAAAAATCTATTAAAAAAAAAAAAAAAGATTCACTGCTGTCGAGTTGGATCTGACTCATAGTGATCTCTCCTGGGTTTCTGAGGCGGTATCACTACGGAAGTAGATTGCCCAATCTTCCTTCTGAGCAGTAGCTGGTGGGTTTGAACCGCCAGCCTTCTGGTTAGCAATCAAATGTCTTAGGCCTATGCCACCAGACTTCCTTAAAACTCTATAGTGAAGAATGAAAAAATCAATGGGACTTTAAATAGCTATGTGACCTTGAGAAAGTCATTTCCCCATTCTGGATCCATTTCCTCCTCTGTAAATGAAGGCACTGAAAGAAATGATACCTCTCAATCTTCAGCTCTTTGACCCTGTGCCTAAATAATTAGAGGCTATAGATAATGCTATTGTGAGAACTAGAGAGTAGAATATAAGGGATTTGTTCTAAAAGGCTTCTTAGAGTGAGAAAATAAATATAATTGCACAGAATTGCCATAGACGAATGCTAGTACTGCAGGCAGTAGGTTTTATAAGAGCCCTGACTATAAAATCAGGAGATCAATGAGAAAAAATGAGTTTCTGCTGATCTAAGGAGCCGTGCAAAATCATCATAAGCATCTTATTCTTTGTAAGGTGCCACAAGTGTGATGTATCAAGAATTGTGCTAAACACTACGGGATGCAGGGTACAGTATGTGATTTCTTTCTTAATTTCAAAATTCTCAAAGTGTTGCTTTGAGACGGTAAGACAAGCTCTGGTAGCATAGTGGCTAAGGCACTTGACTGCTAACCAGAAGGCTGGCGGTTCAAACCCACCAGCCACTTCTCGGAAGGAAGGTTGGGCAATCCTACTCCTGTAGTGATACTGCCTCGGAAACCCAAGGAGGGGTCGCTATGAGTCGGGGCTGACTCGACGGCAAAATAACAACAAAGACAAGTACACATGAAAAAAAATATAATTGCATTAAATGACAGTCTATAATAGTAGCATAGTGCCTAAGGCACTTGATTGCTAACAAGAAGGCTGGCAGTTCAAACCCACCAGCCACTCCTCGGGAGGAAGGTTGGACAATCCTACTCCTGTAGTGATACCGCCTCGGAAACCCAAAGAGGGGACGCTATGAGTCAGGGTCCCTATGAGTCAGGGTCGCTATGAGTCAGGGCTGCTATGAGTCGTGGCCGACTTGAGGGCACATAACAGTAACAATTGAAGGAAGAGTAAAGAAGTCCTGCTGGTAATTGAGAGGTGAGGAAGATCAGTGTTCACCTTGAGTGTTCAGGAAAGAAAGTGAGGGATTTCAGCTAGAAAACTGTTTTCGTGTCTGTAGATTGACTTAGAATAAAATGTACTTCTATTGAGGGTGCACAGCAAACAAAGGAATAATGACCAAATAGAGGGGCTTGTTTGGTGCACAATAAATTTTCTGTGATGATGAAAATTATGTTTAAAAACATGAATCTGGACCAGAGACAAAGGATATTAGATGATAGTTTTGTAATAGGGCAGTTTCACAGAGCAAAGGTAAGATTAGTGGGTGAAAGTAAGATTTTAGGTCAATGGGAGAAAGAGTTTAAATAATAGTGGAGAGGACTGTCTCATGGGGGCTAGAAGTTAGTTTCTGGCACTGTCAGTCCAGACAGAGGCTGGATGCCCACCTGTGAGCCTGGATCTCTTTATGGTTGAGAGGATTCAAGTTCTCACTGGTCTTAATCAAAATGAGAGGCAAAGGACAATATATAGCTTAGTGTAGACTGTTTATATTTATTCCACTATTATAGACTTCCTTTTATTTGTTGTATTTTTAATTTTAGGAACTGATGGGAATGTTTGATGCATTTAGTATTTTTCTTAATAATGCCATGAAACACAAAAATATGAGGGCCACTACAAGAGATCATTTTTAAAGCTCTACAAACATTGATTCAATATTTCTTTATATTGGAAACTGGATTACAATTAGACTTTAATTAGAGCTGGCAAAAGAAAAATGAAGTAAATACAATGTGAGGGGAAAATCATCAGAAATTCTTGTGCTATATTTTAAACTAAACCATATTCTGATTCATAATCACATTATAGGACAGAATAGAACGGCCCCATAGGGTGGTTCACAAGTCTGTAATCTTTACAGAAGCAGACTGCCCATCTTTCTTTCAAGATGCAGCTGGTGTTGTGAGAGATGCCTCTAGCTTCAGTGGGCCGGGAGCAAGGGGCAGACCTGAAGCCCAAGAATGAGGGGCTTTCACCCAGCTTCTAGAGCCTGGCACTTGGAACTCAGACTTCTAGCCTCCTGAACTGTAATAGAATAAACTCCTGTTTGTTCAAGCTGTCCCATTTGTGGTATGTTACTGTCAGAGTGACACTAGGTAACCAAAACAGGTGATGAGTATAGACAACTCTTTCAAAGAGTTTTATGTGGGGAGAGGGCAAGAAATGAATCTTGTAGGATAAGTGATTGTAGGATAAGTGGGTCAAGAGTATTTAACAAACAAAACAAAAACAAACAAACAAAAAAAAAAACACCCTTCCGTAGGGGTTGCTAGAAATAAATATATGATCTCATAATACATACCTTGGGCGAGGAATACTTAAAATTCTAAAACCTATATGGATTCCACTAAGAAAGACAAGTGTGTTATGAATGAATATTAGGGACTAAAATGGTCTGGGTTAATCAGGGAAGGCATTTTAAGTCTAATTATAAAGGTGGATACTCTGAAGGAAAAGGAAGTCTGGTGGCACAGTAGTTAAGAACTCTGCTATAAAGTAAAATGTTGGCCGTTTGAATCTACCAATCCCCTCTGTGGAAGAAAGACGTGGCAATCTGTTTCTGTAAAAATTATAGTCTTGGAACACCTATGGGGCAATTCTAATCTCTCTATAGGGTCACTATAAGTCTAAATCAACTAAATGGCAATGAGTCTTTTGGTTATTCTGAAGGAGGCTGATGAGGGGAAAAATTGAAATGGTGGCCTCTCAAAGAATTTACTGGGAAGGCTTTCTTGTGGAGGTTGGGGGAAGGACAACAAAAGTACTTTGAGGGTCACTTTCTTGTTGGGATTTCTATAACTCAACTAATTCTCTTCCACATCTTTCCATTCTTTACATTTTAGGGACATGAATGGTGAGCAATGGACACTGGGAACTGGAGCCAGGTAACAGAGTTCATTATCTTAGGCTTCCCTCATCTCCAGGGTGTCCAGATTTACCTCTTTATCTTACTGCTTCTAATTTACCTCACCACTATTCTGGGAAACTTGCTGATATTCCTGGTGGTCTGCATGGACTCCCGGCTCCACACACCCATGTACAACTTTGTCAGCATTCTCTCCTTCTTGGAGCTTGGCTACACAGCTGCCACAATCCCTAAGATGCTGGCCAACTTGCTCAGTGAGAAGAGGACTATTTCTTTCTCTGGCTGCCTCCTGCAGATCTATTTCTTCCACTCTCTGGGAGCTACTGAGTGCTACCTCCTCACAGCCATGGCTTATGACAGGTACTTAGCCATCTGTCAGCCCCTCCACTACCCTACCCTCATGACTCCAGGACTCTGTGCCAAGATTGCTGTTGGCTGTTGGTTGGGAGGCTTGGCTGGGCCGGTGGCCGAAATTTCCTTGGTTTCTCGCCTCCCTTTCTGTGGTCCCAATCGCATTCAGCACATCTTTTGTGATTTTCCTCCTGTGCTAAGCTTGGCATGTACTGACACCTCTATCAATGTCTTAGTGGATTTTATTATTAACTCTTGCAAGATCTTGGCCACTTTCCTGCTGATCCTCACCTCCTATGTGCAGATCATCCTCACAGTGTTCAGGATTCCCTCTGCTGCAGGCAAGAGGAAAGCCTTCTCTACGTGTGCCTCCCACCTCACCGTGGTCCTCATCTTCTATGGAAGCATACTCTTCATGTATGTACGGCTGAAGAAGAGCTACTCACTGGATTATGACCGGGCCCTGGCAGTTGTTTACTCAGTGCTCACACCTTTTCTCAACCCATTCATTTACAGCTTGCGTAACAAAGAGATCAAAGATGCTGTAAGGAGGCAGCTAAAGAGAGCAAAGATTCTGGGGTGAGGAGGAGTAGGTAGGTTGACTGTGGGGCTGAGGATATGGTAACCCACAAGATTATCAGTGGTCAGAGATGAAGAATCAAGTATTTATTGTTTTTCTACATGGGATACTGAAACTGGGGCAAATGCTGCCTAACTTTCGGTGTTAACTCTGGCTGTTATACCTTCTGATGGAATCATATGCAACTTGCAGAACAAAGACTGAAAAAGTTTCACTTCTTTCTAGCTACATGGTGTACTGTGGTGATTTTCACATCTGATGTTTGTGTACCAAAGTTGGGATTTTTGTCTATTCTATATTTCACCAATAATATTTTTGTTTTCAAATTTACTTTGTTTAACATCCTAAGCAATAATTACTACTAAACAAATGTATAATTTCTAGAACAAAAATCAAATGATTTTTCATGTACCCACTTGTAGTTATTTCACATATTAAAATCATTTATGAATTACCCTGGAAATATTGATATTGTAGAAAAAAGCATTTTTTTCCCCTACTAGCTATATCTGAATTTAGGAGGCCCAATAATGCAGTGGTTAAAGTACTTGGCTGCTATTGTAAGGTTGATAGTTTGAACCCACCAGCTGCTCTGCAGGAGAAAGCTGTGGCAGTCTCCTCATGTAAAGGTTTACAGCTTTGGAAACCCTATAGGGCACTTCTGCTCTGTCCTACAGTGCTGCTATGAGTTGGAATCAACTCAACAGCAGTAGATATATCTTGGTTTAAATCCCAGTTTTTCCAGTTATTATTATTTACATGGCTGTAAGAAAATAACTTAACCTCTCTGTATTTTAATTTCAATATTTGCTAAAATAAATTTTCTTGTAGGTTTAGATAATTGGTGATATGGTCTATAAACCACAGTACACAGTGCCTGGTTTATAGCTGGCACACACACACACACACACAGAGAAAGAGAGAGAGAGAGAGAGGGAGAGAGAGAGAGAGAGAGAGAGATTTGGAGGAATTGGCTCATGCCATCAGTAGGGGCTAGTAAGTTAAAATCTGCAGGTTAGGAACCACCCATTGCTGTGGAGTTGAATCCAACTCATAGTGACCCATCCTTCGGTTTCTGAGTTGGTATCACTATGGAAGTATGTTGCCCAACCTTCCTTCTGAGGAGTGCCTGGTGGGTTTGAACCACCAGCTTTCTGGTTAGTAGTCAAATGCCTTAGGCCAAGTAGACACAGAAAATTAATCATAACATCGAGTAATCCAAACTCCAAACACACTGCTATTGAGTTGATTTCAACTCATAGCAACCCGAAGGGACAGAGTAGAATTGCTCCATAGGTTTTCCATGGCTGTAAATCTTTACAGAAGAAGACTGCTTCATCTTTCTCCCATAGAGCAGCTGGTGGGTTCAAATCATGGACTTTTGGTTAGCTGCTGAAAGCTTTAACCACTACACCATCAGAGCTGCTTTTTCACATGTACTATTAGGGGTTATTTATGAATCTGAATAGCTCTTGCCAATAGAGAATTGAATATTGACTATAAGAAATCTTTACATTCCTTAGAAATTCCTACTAAACTCTCAAAATATTTTCATTCTTACCATCTTAAAGTATCTGTCCATCTAACCATTTACTCCTTAAACTCAACACGTTTCTTTAGATCTCATTCTATTGCAGATGTATAAGCCCTGAGGATAATATGGTGAACAAAACTGATACTGTTCCCGCTTTGCCCTTAGGGTACCCTTAAGAGAGTTTGGGATATAGACATCAACGTTGAAATTAATTTATAATTAGTTGTTGCTCGGTGCCCTTGAGTTGGCTCCAACTTAGAGCAACTTTATGTAAAAACTGAACAAAACGTTACTGGTCCTGTGCCATCCTCACAATAATCCATATGGTTTTACAATTGGTGTAATTGGTCATTATAATTCAGAATTTGACTTGATGGTAGTGGTTTGTTTATTTGTTTCTATATAATTTACACTTGAAGAAGTTACATTTAAACTGAAAACTGAAGAATCAGTTAGCTATTTTTTGAAAGCAAGAATAGCAATTGTTATTTATAGTCAAGTCTCTGTGGACTAATGGTGACCCTTACGTGCTGAATAGAACTACTCCATAGGGTTTTCAATGCTGTGCCATTTAAGAAGCAGACTGCCATATATGTCTTTAAGGAGCTTTTGAACTGGTTAAGAGTGCCAACCTTTTGGCTAGTAGTCGAGATCTTAACTATTTGTACCATCCCCAAGGTATATGGAAACTTGGGAACTCTAGTGGCATAGTGTCTAAAGCATTTGACTGCTAACCAGAAGGCTGGAAGTTCAAACTCACCAGCTGCTCCTTGGAAGGAAGGTTGGGCAATCTACTTCCATAATGATACAGCCTTGGAAACCCAAGGAGGGGTTTACTATGAGTTGGATCTGACTTGATGGCAGTGGGTTATATGGAAACTTTTCTAAAAGGGACTCTAGATAAGAAAACAGTCTTCAGCCTTGCGGTGTAGTAAATTACTTAGTGTGGCTTTTCTACCCATAAGTCTTTGTAAACTCCAAGGTGGGAATTGCTATTAGCAACTGAGGAGATCCTGATTTTAAAGTCACCCACCTGGGTTATTTCTGTTGGGCGTGGCACAATACAATGTTCTGGGAGGTTCCCACTCTCTCTCACGTGCTT